AATCTTTCAACGCAATCCTGCGATAGGCGGCGGGTGCGGCGTGTGCGACGCCGTGTTAGGGGAGAAGTTCCCCGACCCGGGAATATCAGAGACACTTCGTCCCACTGAACGAATGAGTCAGATGCGAATTAGTCGACGTCAAGACGGTCATGCAAATAAATTTCAGCTGATGACGCGAAATCAGTCCTTGCAGAGGTACGTGCTGAGAAGACCAAAGGATCACTCGATAAGGAAGGTATTGGACTTTGATACATGAAGTAGGCGACAACAAGGAGCCCCAGAGCAGGGCTGCACGAAGCCAACCGAGAGAGCCTCACTGAAGGACCACATTGAAACGAAGAACTCGGTCAGAGATGTCCGAATAGGAAAGCGAGAATTGAGGCTGGGGAAAAAGAGGATCATTGCCTTTGGCCGTGGATCAGACTGGATTGAGGAGTTTACAGGATTGACAATTGAACCGTAGGCGCCGATATATTTTGGGATGCGTCCCTCATTCGACTTTCAACTTGAATTGCAGTGGCATATTAAGCCCGTCTGTAGCCCATACAATGACTTGTTGTGGGAAGCCGATGTACAAGTCAGCACTTTGATCCACCTAGACGGGTCTGGTACCAATTAACAGATCCCAAATGAACTATTAAGGCCGATTAGAATAGAAATATCAGTCAGATATCCATCTCTCTATTATACGTGCATGATAGTGCGCTACATGCCACTACACCACCTAGGCTCTCTAACCGCGCAGGTGCCTTTACTGTGTTACAGTAAGCGGGTAAAGTGAAAGTAATGTGTCAGTGTAAGTTCTTTTGAAACGTACACTTGCTTCCTCGGCGTAAATGCCGGTGCTGTAGGCGGCAGAGGCAATTTTGGTGGAGTCGGTGGACAGAATTGGTGTGGATCCGGAGCAGAAGTGCCTCCTGCGTAATTCAACGATTCGTCTAAAAANAAAAATTATTCGATTTCACATTGAGTAGATCAAAGCCCTGAGAATCACTGGAAAACATTTGAAAATACCTTTGATCTGTGGTACAGGTTTCAGACAACGACAGCAGATACAGAAAGATATGCAGAGGCACCCAAGAATAAGGACGACACCAGCAGATAGAAGTAACACGAAGGCGCCTGAGACAGATATCAGAGGATCAGTGTCCAAATCTGAAATAACAGCAAGTTATCATGGAACGTGAAGTTTACGTAATGTTGCAACATGGCGTTGGGAAACCTTGATTGGATTATGCGGAAAAGCTAGGGTGCTTATCTTTGCAGGGATGGGCGGTGAATTGTGAGAGTGGCCGAGTCCCTCCTCTCATTCATTACTTTTATAATCATGCCCTTCCCAGCTTTTGCGTCTTCGACTCGGATTTTTTGTTGAGGGCGAAGCTAGCGAGTCAAGCGAGTTGACTGAAGGTGGTTGGGTCAATGTATAATAGCTCCATAGCTAACAGAGATAGAACAGTAGCACTCGCAGTAGATTTGTGAAGGTTGGTGGGCACCATTCGTTAGGTAGAGCGCTTTTTCGAATGGCATCACCAACGTGAACTTAAGCGTAGCTCGTAGCCTGTATCTTCATAGACTCCTCCGCCTTCTTTACCCAATACCGTCACCTTGAAGGAAATCTTCACTAGAGGAAGTTACTTTCCTAAGCTATGAATAGGATCAGCTCGAGAGTTTTCTAGCCCCTCATTCAGCCTCTATTCATATTATGATAGCTCCCATATAATTTTCTGATTACAGTTGTTCCGTTTTGACACAACATCGTCTTGATCCTTGGCATGTTGCCCATACCTATCTATTTCGTGGAGATGAGATGAGCCTGATTTTATTTATGACAATCCTTCCTGCTTTGAATAGATAAACACTGAAATCACCTTCACAATTTGCAGCAAACTGTTTAGAATAGATTATGTCAGATCCATCAGGGCAATCTGAGAAACGATCGCAAGCCAGCTGAACTGGAATACACTGATCATGTCCGCAAGCGAACTCACGTCCTGCTGAGCATGGAACTGAAAAAAATAACGTCATCGAGGAATAAGCAACAACATCTGAAGGGCATGAGCTACTCTCATACCTCCAGCTGTTACTCTGAAAGCATTCCAATGAAGTTGAAATCCTTTTGCAGGATGTTGTTGCGGTAGGATGGCATCTGTGTGCCACCACAGTGTCAGGGCATTCATTGTACTCAAACTGAGATCAGTGACATTGTTACGCCGTCCGCAGAACTGACCTGTGAACGTAATCAATCTCTCAACGGACAGACGGATAATCCTTATTGCTTACCAATAATCGGTCCAGGAGTCGTTGTTGCACTCGATTTTGAAGGCACCGTAGATGGATCGATCGAGGTTTCGTGCTGAAATTCAAAGAGCAATAAGTTGTTCCTCGATTACTGAGTGGATTTGTCAGGAACAGTTGAAAGTTCGCAATTCTGCCATGAACCATCACTCTCTCTTTTACCTCTTATCTAGTATCTTTCAGAAGGCAAGTTCACGTACGCTTTTGAGAGTCTGAGAGTTGAAATTCTCCCGTTCATATGAAGGGTGGAGGTCACAAGGGAGCCATAAACGAGTAACTTTGAAAGGCTTCATCAACTTGGATAGAATTCACTGCCCGTTAGCAGGTCAGTGAATTCCACTGAGGCCTTTTTATGAAGCCTTTTGATTCCTACGTTACCCTCCCCCCCTATTCCCTCCTCCCCAGATTGCAACTACCCTCATCCTTATCCCTAAAGTTCAATTTTTCACGTACTGCTGTGCCCAGTCAGTTGATACTGCCTCTGGACCTGTCGGGTGAATAATTTGTGGCAGCGAGGCTTCATGCTTTACTGACGCCACTGCTTTCGACACAAGTTCATAAGAACCGTGACAAGGGAGAGAAGGATTGAGAAGAGCGGTAGGCAGTCTTTTGCCGAGTCAACTTGCAGCCTACTACCTCATTACGAACCATGTTCATTGACTCTTCCCACTTCAAACCGGCTGTCTTCAAGCACAACCACGAACGTAAATGATTCCTCACCTGCTCGAAGAATGTTCAGAAGGTTTCAGTGAGGTTAGGATTAAGGATAAGGTCTTCAGGAAATAATTATCCCCTTTTAGGGATGCGCACCACATTTCACTTCGACCTATTGAATGCGTACGTGGCTTATACAATGAATCGCAGTAGCCATCCAATGTATAATTCAAGTCAGTGTTCTTATCCTCCTAGAAGACGCTTGTATCAGTTAACCAACCGCGGAGGGATGGAAGGCTTGATTGGCCTAGGCTGATATCGAGCAGGGATTTAAACCCGTGACCATGCGTGTGTGATAGTGGGCCAATTGCCAGTAGGCTCTACAGCACCTCCGCTCTTCCGTCGGATTGGATTTATTGCAGTGGTATCAAAAACAATGGATTTTTACTCAAATTTTCAACCTTTGTTTTTGACCCATAATACTTGTAAGTCGTTAACGCTTGTACTCACGTCGAAGACATGTAGAGTATCCTTTTCACACGAAGAATTATTACCATTGACATCAAACTCTATAATCTTGAGTCGTATACGGTAACCCAGCGGTGCAATCAGCATCATAAAACAATTTCTGCTGGCATTATACGGTTCCCTGCCGTAAAGTGAGTGTGAATATATGACGCCAGAGAATCCTGTAAATTCTTTCTATAAAAATTAATATACAGTTGCAAATAAAACTTTCTAATTACCTGTGATTCTCCGTTCAATTCTCGTTTTACACTGATTGAAAGGATCATTGCCATCAAAGAAACCTGCAAAAGTATCATCGAAGGATCACGAATTTATAGAATCAGAAGAATTTCGAAAAAAAACCTACTTATGCTAGGTTCAACAGCTACGATAGCAGCAATTCCGAAAATACAACAACAAGTGATCGCTATCGTCAGAGCTCCCGATACCATAACTAGAATATGGACTGACTAAAGAGGGTTCAGATCTCCACGATAAGGTCGAGGTTACGGTCATACGGTCAGATAGTTAATGATAATTTTGGATTACATACAGGTAAAAAAGCAAAATTAACGACAGTTAAATGAAATCAGAAATAAATGGAAGCTAGTCAACCAAAAGGGATAAAGGAAACAACAATATGATGTACTGGCACAGAAGGAAGGCTTAATATCAAAAGAGCCGTCAATGTATGAAAAGTAATTGCATGTGTCTTCTTGGCCTATGCTCAGCTTGTTTTTTTATCGCTTCTTGGGATAGAGTTGAAGACAGTATCAGTAGGCTTCGCTATTACGCCTACAGTTCATGATTTGATCAAAACCTTGGCCTGAACCAGCTGAAATACCCTTCTCAACGCTACTGCATTTCCTAGTGGAGGTCATATGCGCGAACGCATCCCGAAGATCTTTCTGTCCTCCCCACCTATCACCCTTGTGATGTCTCCTTCGGTTTTTAGTTGCACGCCAACTGGTAGTTATGTACGAGAGTGCTAAGCCGATTGGATGATACTGTCAAGTGGAAAATATGAGTTCAAGTCAATATCATCCCCCCTTTTTCTTTCCCAATACATCGCCTCAGTTGCCCCTGTATTGGGACACGGACTGGCATATGGGCTCTCTGCCGCAAATCATTGAATTGGTCTCATACGCACTACAACGCGTCTGAAGGGGACCATTCAAAGGAGGGATTGATCAGCGCCTTAACCCTTCCCTTTCCAAGGTATTGACTTGATCCCTTTCATGCTATCCTTATCATCCCATCAATATTCAGTGTTTACCATACGACTTTACAAAGTATCGAAGCGGCGGGTCAAGTGATCGAGCCTTATCATAAGGGGATTATTGTTTGCAGCGGGTGTGATAACGCTCATCAACCCTGCAATTTGCAGGAAATACATGCTCCAGTGGTCTTTTTCAGTATCACCGAGTCAACGGACCAGAGGCATTGTCCCCACACAAGACAGACAGAAAGAGGAGAGGCATTAGTAGTGACAGGATGTGGGATATTCTTGGCTTTCGTCCTGTTAATTAAAAGGGCAGCAAAACTAGTAAACAGAGGTTTGGTGACGAGCTTTCCTTCTTACGCCAGCTGAGGCAGTGGAATAGTGGCCAGCTCTGTTGGATGACGATCTGGTTGACCAGGCTGGAAATTCATTTTTTGAGATCGGCTCCTGACTAAATAAGCGACACAAGGGCTATGAAAGATCGACTGATCCAGGATGTTGAATGCAAGCTCAAAGGAAGCTTCCCTTGACTTTTGAAAGGTGATTTCGGTAAGAGATACCAATGTTACCAACAAATTCGTTGAGCCACCAAGTTTTTATGTGAAGTGCTGTAGTACCTCCACCGCTCCATCCTTTTAGATATTCGTCCAGCTCTGTTCTACAGGAGGTTCCCGTGAACAATTCCTGAGAAGTGAATAAGAAAGAGCCATTTCAAAAGCGGTCGATCATCGCCTGAACCCCTCCCCTGTTTCAAGTATTATATTAAGCTCTTTTTATGCTGTCCGAAGCACAAAATTATTGGTGCCGGTGAGTCCCGATTCGGGATACGTCCGCCTATCTGGCCTATACTCAAAATTGGAGGGGCGTTTGAATGGCTCGGGTCTAAACATTGAGCTATGAGGCGACCGATAAACAGGTCAACCCTCTCTTTCGGGCCAGCCCAACCATATTAACCCTTTCCAGGTTGGATAGATGCACAAATATTAGTCCACAGTTTGATTCCGATCTATTCGTGAGATCTCATAATACCGCCGTCGCTCCTCCTCGAGAGGGTGCACACTATGAATTATTTAGTAGTAATCAGCCTTTTAAGGAGATCTGGCACGCACCGAATTCGATCCAAAATTCTGAGAGCACACGACTGTGGAGTATACCACCGTCTAATTAAGCTGATCAATATTCAAGCTAAGCTTAAAACAAATCTTCACAGTGACAGCTCCGTTCGTTTCAGCCGTATCCAAAAAACCGTGCATGAAAAGTATCTCATCGGTGTCCGATGCTGATGGGATTTGGGTCGGAAATGGGATAAGGGAAAGGCTACGACATTTCTCGATGAAAATGTGAAAACAAATGTCGTAAAACTCCAAGCGGTTGTAGTGTTGTCGTCCTGAAGCAATAGAATACGGTCTGAAAGCTGGAGGTAGAACCTACCCTTCATTGCTTACGTGCCAGCCGGTTGAGTACTTCCATGGGCGCTCAATTACGGACCAGCTCGGCTTTTAGACTTCTCTGATGATAGAAAAGGGAAAACTACGAAATGACAGTCAAGGACGAGTTGCCTCAAAGTGATGACTTCTACAAGGACAACTAGCAAACGAAATTGCAATGATTACTATCTAAGGAGCTTCTACATTAAAAATGGCAACAAAACACGAACAGTAGTAGCAGGTAGGAAAGTATAATGAGAAAAAACGCTAAGCGGAATCAGTGTGCTTGGAATCTGTGCCGTACAACAGGTGATCGATTATCTGTCCTAAACAGCTGATCGATTAGTAGATTACGCAGAACTGGTGCTGTATCCGAGAATACGACATTAATCATCGATAACATGATGGAACAGACGACTTTTATATTAATGCCATACCATTAAGCTGTTTTAAAGGAAGCCTCACACAGTGGTCATTCTAACAGATAAATGGTGTCCAATGAATAGGAGGACATGGTGAAATATGGTGCGAATGAGGGGATGAGTAGACTGAAGCACGAGATGTGTCTTGCCACTGAATTATGGGGTATGGAGGATTAAGTGGACTGGGGCACGAGATATGTCTTAAGGACCGCCAGAGGAACCTCCATGACAGCTGATGTTCACAGAAACATTCCGAAAACTGATCAATCATCGTCACCTCCGCAAACGAATGAATGATGTATCACATTTCTGTGCATCACACAACGGCATCGAGCAACTCCAGCTCTCCAGCTGAATGTTGCCAAGGCCTCTTGCACCTCCCTCACAGCATTCACAGGAATAGCCAATCTGAAGAAACTAGCCCTCACAAGGTCAGCCACTTGCAGAGGTTAATCTAGCTGAAGATACGGTAGCTGCGGAAGAGGTGCTTTATGAACTAATGAATTAACGAAGCAGGCAACAATCGTTGGAAAGGAATCCCTAATTGCAATATTTCGTTATATTCAATACCGTTCTGTAGTTCTCAAATGCAAGAGAATTCGCACCGTACCCTTTAAATCCGTTTAATCAAAATAAGGCTATACGACCCTATACATGAGAAAAAATAGGAAGCTATTTTGGGATAAGCCGGGTTTTTGAGAGGTTTCTAAGGACAGACAAGAAGAATAACTATCTCTGAATAGTATATTTGTCTCATAGACCGAGAACAGTGCCAGGCAAGGAACAGATCTGTAATGGCGGCCATTTAGACTGAAGGGGGCTGTACGTGGTTGAGGTTCGACTCTCAGACTGCAATAATAATGTAAGAAATGAGCAGCGTTAGCGCTAACCTATTGTAAAGTGCATCAAATTACTATTACTGGGGCTTACTTGATGATAAATACGTACAGTTTGGTAAGCAAAACCTGAAAAT